AGTTACTGTGGTGCCAGGAGAAACAAAATGAAAACATTAACCTGCCTTCAGTTTATTGAGCTTAAATCGAAACTAAATTTGAATTCAATTTAACAGGATAATTCTGTTGAATCTGAATTCAACTCTAATGGAATAGGAAGTAGATGTTCTAATTCTCTAAAATAAAGGGGTAATTAAAAAATCTTGGAATCACTTGATTGGCTGTTAAAAATGCTATAGTTTTAGTTTTAAAAATGGCAGTATGATAGACAGTAATATCATTATAATTCTTCTCTCAAAAATGCTGCCAGCATTAAAAGAAAAATTCAATATGTAATCATGTCACATCTCTTAGATATTTCACTAGGGAAATGTAAAGACTGGATGCTTGTGCTACTTAATTCTCTCTTCTTGATGTGCCTGGTAACATAGCAAGGGTGCTCCCCACTTTTCTCAACATTGAATTTGTATTTTCAAATCTGTTCATGAAGTGTTTCGTTGAGCTTCATTGAAAAAGACATTTCTTTGCCTCCTCTCTGTCGGCTGTGAGAGTAGCCATCATTAATTCTGGCTGTGCATACTGGTGATGGAGACCAGGGGTGACTGACCTGAACCAACTCATTCCAAATGTGATTGTCTCCTTCCAAGGGGTTGCAGGATCAGAATGCTCCCCCTATGCCAATCACAATTTAACCATTCTTTGATGATCCAGAAAGCACATCATGACCTTATGGGGACTGTTACTTGAGTTTCCCAACTGATATCTGAAGAAATCTTTGCAGGTTGGGCTGGGAATAGAGTATGGGAGAATAGGCGAGGATGAGAGGAGAGAGAGGAAAAAAAGCAATAGAGAAAATTTCACTTTAAAAGCATTCATTACTTAGTTCTGAGGCTGCATATGACATCAAAAAATTTCTTGAACTCTGCAAACCACTGGACCGGTTGACACAATGGTGGACAGGCGGTGGCTGTGTTCCTGGCCATCACATAGCCCAGACCAGTTATTTAAATGAAAAAAGTGGAGTAAGTTGTGAGTATTACAGTGTTTGGGAATGAGCGGGTGTCAGCAGAGAAAAGCACATAAACCGAAAGCACTCTACCTGTCTTTCTGGCTCTCAGTGCCTCAAGTATGTCAGCAGCAGCCATTTCTCCCAGGACATTGTTTCCAAGGTCAATTTCCCTTAAGTGGGCAGAGTATTTGATCACACTGCTCAAAGAAAATTACAAAAAAAAAAAAAAATTGGTATTGTGCCAAGCAAAGAAACTCCATTCAGTTATTTTAGAGAATGATCTTTCTTTTTAGATTCTCTCCAGCACGCTCCCACCCCAACTCCAAGACGATACACTGACCCACTTTGAGACTGAAGACATCCTGAAGCCAGTTTTTCCCAATTTAATCTCTCTAATTTGGATGCTTCTCCTAGGTAAATTGGTAGAATAAGGATTTTTAGTTGCCTTAAATCCACCATTCATTTACTTATTCAAAAGACATGGTGTGATATTGTGCAGGACTTCCCAGTCACTTAGATTTTACACACCAGCAAAATGTCCAAAAATTCGGAGGGACTGAAAAAGCTTTGGCAACTTCTAGTACATCAAATAAACAACAACTCTCACCTAGCAACACTATGAAAGAACAAATATCTTTACATAAAATTGGGAAGGGCATAGTCTTAAAATAAAGGATAGCTCTTTAAATCAAATAAGTTTAGCTTTATGAAAAATAAACTGCACTGTCTTTATTTTTCTATTTTCTTTGAGGACTGTTGAAAATTCTTTAAAGTGTAGGCCTGGCACTGGCCTTCTGACTGGTCTTTGTGACTCTCTAGCATAATGAGTGGACACGGAATCTGGGTGATGGCCTCGGCTTCCGGTCAGGTTTGACCCCTTGTCAAATCATGTAGTCATGGGCAGCCCATGTGAGAAAGGTCTCACCTTTCTCATCTGTAAAACTGGCCTGAAAAGGGCTATTCTGCCTATTTCACAAGATTGTGGTGAAATCAGAATAATAGTTTATATGAAAGCATCTTGCAAACACAGTACCAATGATGCTATTATATTGAGTGCATTCTTATTAAATGCATATTGTGTGCTTAGCACTGCAGGGATTAAGAGAATTTAACACATGGCTTCTGCTCTGAAAGAAATTATCATATCATCAATAGAACAATTTGAGGCTGGGTGTGGTGGCTCATGTCTATAATCCCAGCACTTGGTGAGGCAGGATGATCGCTTGAAGACAGGAGTTAGAGATCAGCCTGAGCCACGTAGCAAGTCCCCATCTCTACAAAAAATAGAAAAAATTAACCAGGTGTGGTGGTGCACATCTGTAGTCCTAGCTGCTTGGGAGGCTGAGCTGGGAGGATTGCTTGAGCCCAGGAGTTTGAGGTTCCAAGTGAACTATGACCTGGCTACTACACTCCAGCCTGGGTGATAGAGTGAGACCCTGTCTCAATCAATCAATAAAACGATAAAACAATTTTGAGCCCTTCCCATGTGCTGGGGGTATGAAATTTCAGTTAGGGTCAACACTGACTATGACACCACTCTCTTCCTTGCTGTACATATTTTCCACTGATTCAACAGCCAGAATTCAAGGCTGGTGCTGGATGGTCCTGTCAGACTCTCCCTCCTGATGGTCTTGCTCCCAGGGAAAGTCTGTCTAGTCAGGACTTGACCAGCTTTGGCTTCCTCAACTGCCTGGCTGTGTCCAATTTCTTTGGACAGGATGGGTGAGAGGGGGACCAAGGAGTCCACACACGGAGGGCAGGGAGTGTGGAAGACAAACTTCATAATTCGACAATTCTGCATCTAGGTCAACTCCGGAGGCCGTGGATTTAACCACTGCATCATGCGGCCTCACAGGAGCTGAGCTTTGATGGAGTATTCACTATGCACCAGCCGTGAGCAGGGCCACCCACATGAGTACGCGCTTGTGTCCCGTACAAAGGCGCCTTCGGAGGGGGTGAGTGGGGCTGAAATCCGGCCCAGCTCTGGGCCCTGAAGCACGGACCTCAAAAGGGAACTCCCTCTGACTCAGAGGCGGTATCTTTATGATTCATCCGTCCGGAGGGGCTCTTTTCCTAATTTGTGCAAAGGTGCTATTCATAGTTAGTGCCCTGGGCGCTATATTTAGCACCGACATACATTTAACCCTATAGCAATCGCTTGAGTTAGACACTATTATGATCTCCATTTTTACAAATGAGGAAACCGAGGTAAAGGGAAGCTATTTAACTTTCTTGGGATTAAACTGCTAGTAAATCGCGGAGCAGGCCTGTGATGCCAGGCAATCTGCTTGATTCAAATATGCCAAGAAAATATACGTTGATCTCCAGTTCTCAATTCTTACACTTTAGAAAAGAAAACAAAATGATTTAACTATTTCATGTCAGAATGAAAAAAAAAAACAGGGGAAAGGAATCCCTGGCACTGGTGCACGTCGATAGTGGTGTTCACGTTCCCTGTCGCACAGAGCCCTACACTCTGAAGGTCCCCTCGCTTGGTTCAGTGCTCTGCTACTGTCATCTTGAAATTTCTTGATGATATTTGGATAAAGGGCCATGAGTTTCCATTTTGCACTAGGTTCTCACAAATTATGTAGCCATTTCTGCCATCATCTTCGTGCGTTCAGAGCTGAAAGCATCTGACGAAGCGCCAGGCTTCAGCCGTCGCACTGCTCTGCCAGCCCATAGACCGCCGCTCGATGAGTCCTGATCAGAGCGAGGGCTGGTTCATGACCACGGCAACCAGCCGGGCCATTTGGCTCCTGCCTTAAGCTCAAGGAAGCCACTGGCGCTGGCTGTAGGGGTAGACTAACGCAGCAAAGCTAGATCAGGCCTCATCACAAACAAAGGCCTGGCATCCCTTGTCCCCAAACTAGTTAACCTGAAGGTGGGGATAGACCCAGGTGGTACCAGGTGAAACTGAGGGACTAATCTGATTAGGTCTGCCAAACTTAACCTGCTCCACTTGCTTTTGGTCACTGGGTTTTTGTTATTTTTTTCCCCATATAGCTAAAAGCCATGCTTTAAACACTATAATTTAACCTCCAATTGCTTCCTTAAAGATAACATTTCTGTATGTCGTCATGGTAATGGTCACTTATGTTGTTTTTCAGGAACTGGGGGGCAGCTCCTGTCCAGTTCAAACTGGTTGAGACCACCGGCCCTCCAACTGGGCCTGTACCAATGTTCGAGAGGAGGCCTTGGGACGTCAGGGGGCCACACCCCTCACCCTCAGATCATGCTAACACCACCATTTCATGAACCTGTGTCCTATGAAGAGCCATGAGCCCCAACCATGCTTGTGCAGATCACCCATTACTTCATTTTTCCCCACTGCCGATCACCTTTTCCCACGCCTTAGCCCACCCCATTTCTCTAACCGTAAGTATCCCTAAACTTTATCTTCGGGGAGGCAGATTTGAGAGCTGTTCTCCTTCCTCCTTGCTGGGCTGCTCTGTGAATAAATCTTTACTCTTTTGCAAAGCCTGTTGTCACAGCAATTGGTTCACTGTTCATGGGCAGAATACACCTGGTCAGTATCATCTAGGGTGACTAGAGCCAGCAGGTAGGCAAGTGGCTTGTGCCTCATATTCTCCATCACCAAACCTTACCCCAACATAAATGCATATGCATAAGCCATTCTAAGTATATTCAGTTAAGCAGACCCCACGAGCTGACTGTGCTACATGTTCCCAGACAATTCCCCTGGCTCCCCTTGCATCCACTGAGCTCCTCCTTCCTAGATATTCAGGACCCAAATGATAAAAGGTGATGAGCCACAAATGTGTTTCTTGAAATACTCCTGGAGTCTGTTTGATCGTCCTCCAACTTTCCCTACAGCTGGTCTGACAGGGTGGGCTGGGGCTGCAAAGACAGTGCTTCCACTTCCAGGGCACCAGCCCATCGGCACTGCAGAGGAGTGCAGAGAGAGAGTGAGCGTCACAGCTGTGAAGGCGGAAATGGAGAGGGGTAGCTGTGCTTGAGGAGAGTGTGCAACTCACTGCACAAGTCACATCAGAAAGTCACCAACTGCCCATGAGATGAGGTGAGGCTGAAAAGACACAGAATAGTTAAATGGTTCAAAAACTATGGATGTTAAATTTGCACTAAGCTGTCATTATGAGTTCAAGTTGGTTAGGTCACTAAAGTAAGAATAGTTGAAAGGGAATGCAAAATCAAGGATAGTGGCTAAAAAGTGGTCAGCAGAGGCAGGTTGGTGCAGGAAGAGTCAGGGTGAAACAGGTGGGTTGAGCAGAGAGGGGAACAGGGCGTGCTCCAGGGTTGTGTGAGGGTGGGGTGCTTCGAACAAGGAAATGGCTTAGACTTTGAGCCAGTAAGACGCAGGTTTGAAACTCAACTTTATAGTTACAACTCTGACATTCTGGGAAACTGATTTACCCTCTTTGAACTTTAGTTTACTCATCTATAAAGTGAGAATAATAACATTTATGACTTAGGGTTGATGTGAGGAGTAATAAAACTATATTCTTAGCATCTATTGCATAATAGTTGCGCTATAAAATGAAGCAGGACTTCCCCTTTTGGCCATGATGGAGTAACAGGGACTGGATTTATCCTCCACCCAAAACCAATTTTAAAAAAAACAGAGAAAATATATTGAGCAATGGTTTTCAGACATTGGAAAACAGGCAGCATAGAGCAACGATCCCTGAAAAGGGGGAACACATGAAGTGAGCCCCGTGAATGTGCCAGCTTACTGCCTGAAGGGAGTTTCCAGATTGCAGCACTGGGAAGAGGGGGGCAATCCGATTCTGTTGGTCTCACTGAGTTTCCATTTTGCACTGGGTGCCCACAAATTACGTAGCCAGTTCTGCTATCATGTTTAGTGTATTCTGAAGAGTTTGGATAGAGATGGCTAGAATTTATAGGACAGAATATTGGAGAGGAGAGGCCTTTACAGAAAAAGAGAGCTCTGTGCTTTCTGCAGAGGGCTTACCCCAAATCTTTGGTTGAGTACTAATCAGCATACACTTTTGAGGAAATTACCAAGGCTAGGGAAGTATCACAGGACAGGAGCAGATGGAACAATCTCTGAAGTTCATACAGGGCTGGAAACAGTTAAAATACCCACCAGCCAGAGTGTAAAAACCTCCTAATACAGAGAGCATCAAGTAGAGTCCTAAAAAGAGTATTATCTCCATAGAGGGACCAAATTCATGCTAGAGTAAAAGCTGTTCTGGATATGTCCTAACAACATTTTAAAGCAAACCTCAGAGGAATCCAGTTCTTGCCAAAGAACTTAACTGCATCACAGAAAAAAGCCCCAAAATATTAAAAAGAATAAAAAACGAGTTTAAAAAAATTCATCACCCAACATAAATTCATCATGTCTAGCCTTCAATAAAAAATTACTGAAGCAGGACAATTTGACCCAGAAGAAAAATTAATCAATGAAAACACCCAAAAATGACACTGATAATAGAATTAGTAGTCAAAGACATTAAGACATTCATTTTAAGCATACTTTATATATTCAAGAAAGTAGAGGAAAGTATGAAGACTGAAATGAAAGCTGTAAAAGAGGCTCAAGTTGAACTTGTAGAGATTAAAAAGTACAATGTCTGAGATAAAAAATACATCATATGGAATTAACAGCATAGTAGACATTGCAGGAGAAAAGATTAGTGAATGTGAAGACATAGCCATAGAAACTATCCAGAATGAAATGCAGAGGACAAACAGACCAAAAAAAATGAACATAGCATTATTTACCTGCGGAACAAAATCAAGTAGCCTAACATACAGGTAATTAGAATTCCAGAAGGAAAAAGAGAAGAGTGATAGAAAAAGATACCTGAAAAATAGTGGTCAAAACTTTCCAGATTTGAGAAAAGCTATAAATGCATGGATTCAAGAAGTTCAACAAACCCCGATCAGAAGAAACAAGAAAAGAATCATACTAAGGCATGTCATAATTGAATTGTTGAAAACCAGTGATAAAAAGAAAGTTTTAAAAGCAGTCAGAGAGAAAAAAAGACAAATTATATACAAAAGAACAGACATAAAAACGATGTTTCTTCAGAAGCAACACAAGCAGAAGACAGTGGAGCAACTTCTTAAAAGTATTAACTGTCAACCAAGAAATCTATACCTAGCAAAAAAAAAAAATCTTTAAAAATGAAGGCAAAACAGACTTGTTACATATACAAAAGCTTGGAGAATCATCACTAGCAGATCAGGACCATAAGAAAGGTATAAAGTAAGTCTTTCAGACAGAAGGATATAATACCAGACAGAAATTTGAATATATCCAAAAGAATGAAGAATGCTAGAAATGGTAACTATGTGAATAAACATAAAAGACTACCACCTTATTAAAAAATAACTGCTTAAAACAAATATAATAATGTATTATGGGACTTATAACATTTGTAAAAATAGAATATATTACAAGAAAAGCACAAAGAATGGGAGGGAAATGAAAGTATACTACCTATAAGATTTTTATACCATAAGTGAAGTAGTATAATAGTATTTGAAGGTAGACCATAATAAGTTAAAAATGAGTGCTGTAAACACTAGGGTATCCACTAAAAAAAAAAAAAAGACAGAGGTATAGCTAATGAGTCAATAAAGGAGATAAAATTGGAATTATAAACATTACTCAATTCAAAAACAGGCAGAAGGCTGGGCGCGGTGGCTCACGCCTGTAATCCTAGCACTCTGGGAGGCCAAGGTGGGAGGATCGCTCAAGGTCAGGAGTTTGAGATCAGCCTGAGCAACAGTGAGACCCCCATCTCTACTAAAAAAATAGAAAGAAATTAGCCAGACAACTAAAAATATAGAGAGAAAAAATTAGCCGGGCTTGGTGGCTTATGCCTGTAGTCCCAGCTACTTGGAAGTTGAGGCAGAAGGATTGCTTGAGCCCCAGAGTTTGAGGTTGCTGTGAGCTAGGCTGACACCACAGCACTGTAGCCTGGGCAACAGAGTGAGACTCTGTTTCAAAAAAAAAAAAAATAAATAACAGGCAGAAAACTACTTTAAAAAGGAACAAAAAACAGATAATAACAATAGAAAAAAATGGCAAGATAGTAGATTAAAAACCCAACCACATTGATAATCACATTGAATGTAATGGTCTAAACAATTAAAAGACAGGTTGTCAAATGGATAAATAGAAGTCTCAACTACATGCTATCTATAAGAAACCCAATTTGAATATAAAAGCACAGGCTAAAAGTAAGAGGATGAAGACAGATATATTATGCTAATATATGTATATTTTTTGAGACAATAAGGCAGTCTTGCTCTGTTGCCCTGGGTAGAGTGCTGAGCTCCCTGTAGCCTCAAACTCCTGGGCTCAAGCGATCCTCCTGCCTTGGCCTCCCAGAGTGCTAGGATTATAGGCGTGAGTCACTGTGCCCAGCCTTATGCTAATATTAATCAAAAGAAAGCTGTAGTGGCTATATTAATATTACTTAGGCTTGTCCTGAATTCCTGAGCTCAAGGGATGCTCCTGCCTGCCTGCCTGAGTAGCTGGGACTACAGGCACACACTGTTGTGCCCAGCATTGAAATAAGTGTGTTCTCCAACCACAGCAGAATTTAATTAGAAATCAACATGAGAAAGATATCTGAAAAATATACAAATAAGTGAAAATTAAGCAAAGCTCTTCTAAATAACCCTAGATTTGAGAAGAAATGAAAAGATAAATTAGAAAATAGTTTGAACTGAATGAAATGAAAATAAAATACATCAAAAATTATAGGATGCAATGAAAGCAGTGCTTAGTGTTAATATAAACATTTATATTAGAAAAACAAAAAGATTTAAAATTGGCCAGGTGTGGTGGCTCACGCCTGTAATCCTAGCACTCTGGGAGGCTGAGGTGGGAGGATTGTTTGAGCTCAGGAGTTCGAGACCAGACTGAGCAAGAGCGAGACCCTCTCTCTACTAAAAATAGAGAAATGAGCTCGGAGTGGTGGTGTGCACCTGTAGTCCCATTTACTCTGGAGGCTGAGGCAGGAGGATTTCTTGAGCCCAGAAATTTGAGGTTGCAGTGAGCTACGATGATGTCATTGCGCTCCTAGAGGCAACAAGAGAGACTCTGTCTCAAAGAAAAAACCAAAAAGATTTAAAATCAATTAACTAAAGCTTCCACCTTAATATTCTAGAAAAAGAAGAGCATATTAAACCCCAAGTAAGCAGAATAAAGAAAATAATAAAATATTAATAATAAAGATAAGAAGTCAAGAAGTTGAAAACAGAAAAATGGTAGAGAAAATCAAGAGCTGGTTCTTTGAGAAGATCAATAAAATTGATAAATTTCTAAACAGATCAATCAGAAAAAGAGAAACACAAATTATCAATATCAAGAGTGAAAAAGGAGACATGTCTATAGATCTGATACCAAAGGATCATAAGGAAATATTATGAATAACTTTATGCCTATAAATTTGATAACTTAGTTGAAACAAATTCCTTGAAAGACACAAACTACTAAAGCTTTACTCAAGATAAAATATCCAGAATAGCCCTATATCTATTAAAGAAATGGAATTTGTAGTTACAAATCTTCCATAAAGAGAGCTCCAGGTTCAGATGTTATCACTGATATATCTATTGAATATTTGAGGATGAAATAATGCCAATGCTACACAAATTATTTCATAAAATAGAAGAAGAGGTAACATTTCCTAGCAAACTCATTCTGTAAGGCCAGAATTACCCTGATCCTAATACCAGACAAAGACATTAGAAGAAAAGGACAGACTAATATACCTCATGAACATAGACACAAAAATCCTTAACAAAATGTTAGCAATATACCCAAAGGATAATATATCAGCAATATATTAAATTTAGCAATGTATTAAAAAAGTAATAAAATGAAGTTTATTAATAAAATTGGTATAGAAAAAGCAGCAAAGCTATCCAAGTTGGAAATCTTCCCATCCTTCCTGAATAAGGAAGCAATGTACATTAAAGAGGGAATCTTTTGGCCTGGCCCGGTGGCTCACGCATGTAATCCTAGCACTCTGGGAGGCCGAGGCAGGCGGATTGTTTGAGCTCAGGAGTTCGAGACCAGCCTGAGCAAGAGCGAGACCCCGTCTCTACTAAAAATAGAAAGAAATTAATCGGACAACTAAAAATATATAGAAAAAATTAGCCGGACCTGGTGGCGCATGCCTGTAGTCCCAGCTACTCGGGAGGCTGAGGCAGAAGGATCGCTTGAGCCCAGGAGTTTGAGGTTGCTGTGAGCTAGGCTGACGCCACGGCACTCTAGCCCGGGCAACACAGTGAGACTCTGTCTCAAAAAATAAAAATAAAAAAAAAATAAAGAAGGAATCTTTTACTTCTAGAATTATAAATAGTCATCTATCCTCCAGCCGCAAGCCTTGGCTGTGTTTTGTTAGTCTCGATTGTCACATGGTGCTGTCCCTACCGACTGCCTGAGACGGTACAGCCTGGAGCCATCTCCACCCAGAAAGTTTTTCCTAGAGTAGCTGCAAACCCTGACTTGTGGCTGGGTCCGCGGGGTGGGCAGGGGGACGGGTGTAGATTCAGTAGAGCTGGACAGGGAGATGCCTAAGGTTGTCAGGATAAACATGGCAAGGAAATGTTCTGTTTTCCATATGCTTTCGAGAATAGCTGCATCCTCGTGCCTGAGGAGGTTGGGACAACTTTGTAATCAAACATGAAACAGTGTTTACTCCCAAGTAGGCTGCCTTTCTTCCTCAGGTCACCTCGTTTATATTTTACATTATATCCTGACTTTAGAGAAGAAAAATCTGGAGGTCATACCTCCTCTTTCCTCAGTTGCAAACTTCTTAAAATGCGGCTTCTAGTGTGGTCTTCGAGACCCCGTTACGGGTTCACACGCGACTGTTTGCCACGTCAGGTACCAAGACTACGATGGGTCACTGCTTCCTTCTCAGGGCTGAAAAACCTCACTGGAAACTGCTAAAAAGCTGCGATTACATCATTGTCTCCATGATTTAATTCAAACACGGGCTTTTGGAAGGCGAACAAATAAAACCTCTTAATCTGCTACTCACCGTGTTAAAATTTGAGTGAATTCCAGCAAGTCGTTTTCTCCTCTTCCTTTTCCATCTATGCCGTTATCTGCCAGGTGCAACTTCACCAACCAAGGACCAGCTTCACTCAGACCTTTACTCTTCTTCTTGATTCCTGCAAGGGAATCAGAGTACTTTGTTATTTTTAGAGAAGAGTTCTCGTTTGTCACCAGCTAAGCTGATTTTATTTTCTTAAGACGGTGCTTATTGGACCTGTGTGAGCGCATGCATTCTGCAATGCAGTCAAGGAGACACCACCCAAGTGATTTTCCTCGTTTTATGCTCAGTACATCCTTTGTTCTTTACAACAGGAAGCCCAACATTGCTCTGCATGAAAGGAAATACATCCAAGATTCAGCTTGTCGCCTTTACTTTTACAAAAGAGGAAAATCGATGTCTTTAGAAATTTCTTGGTAGAAGATGAATGAGTTGTCCGCTGATCCTGGGAAGGCGACAGCATGCATAAGGAGATTCAGTCCTCTGAAGGAGCCTGAAAAGTGAGCTCTAGAAGTTTGAAGGAGAAAGGACCATCTTGCCTCTGTAGACTTCATGACTGAGGTCAGGGGTCCTCGTCAGTCTACGCAGCTTTCATAAAGTCCATCGTACTGCTGTGCAGCAGCATGTGCACATTTAATGTATACCAGTTTGAGCGTAGGAGTTTGGCAAAGAGAAAAACAGGAAGGGGATGGAGGAAGAGAAATAGCTGTGGCCATAATGCAGGCTCATCCACTCGGTAAACATGAGATGGGAGATCTCGAGCTCCAGCCCCAAAGTCAAATAGCTTCCCGGAGCTTCCAAACGTTTAGAGTTAAATGCACGCCCTGAACACTAGCCAGACACTTCATTCGGTGCCCAGTGAAGAAAGAGTAGGTGATCTGTTCCAAAGCTGGGGAAGAAACTGTGTGAAGCTTAGAGATAGTATGTCCATATATTGCACTGTGCGGGCAATTTAAGGGATTTTAAAGGCTCATTTAACTAAATTTAACTAACTATACACTAATTTTGGTCAACATGGTGACTTGAGAGCCTAACCCCAGGGCTAGACTTGAATTCATTCAGCATTTGACACATATTTTTGAACTCCTACGATGTGTTGGGCACTGGTTTGGGTGCTGGGGCTCCACGAGAGAATGAAAGAGACAAAAACCCTGCCCTTATGAAGCTGATGTTAAGGGAATGTTAACTGGTGTGTAGGAAGAGCAAGGAAGAGAGAAGAGTCAATGACGATCAAGTATAAAGTTTCCAATCCTTAAAAGAAAACTGACTTTTTAGGGAAAGAAAGTAAATTTGGACATCGGGCCATCCTAGGTTAACAGTTGGAAAAAAGGAAAAGGTATGCTTTTTTTAAAAAAAGGGTTCCATTGGTTTCTTTGGATTTGAATCTAATCTGCTGGATTGTTGGATGAGATAGACAGGATTTATTTCCTTCAGAACACAGGTGCAGGGATGAAAACTGGCCCATCCTTTGGTTTTATTGGGGATAAGCCTAGCTTTTCTCAATCTCGTTTGTCCTCATGTCCAGGGCATGGGAGCAATAGCAAATGTCAGCTGTCATGAATGATGAAACAGTGTTATACTATTCATGCTAGAACAGCATCTGACACATGGTGGGTATTTAATAATTGTTGAATAAATGAATCAATGACTAGTAGAGTGTAAAGTGCAATCGTATTGTAGAAACTTTTATGTCACTGTTCATTGTTTTTCCAAGTACGGTGTCACTAATAATGCCTTGATGCGTGAACATGAATGGAATATAATTTTTTTATTTATAAAATCTCTTCACAAACATAAATGCCTTTGGAAAGTTGAGCTGACTGCCCAGAATGATTAATGACGTGGATACTGATCACATGTGGCACTGATTTCTTTTTGTCCCCTTCTGGCATGCCAGAAAGCAGCAGTGGCCAACGGGGGCAAGGCTGAAGGCCAAAGGCTAAATTCCTTTACAGCTGCTCAGCTTTGCAAGGAAAGAAACCTTCTCAGCCAATCTACACCCCTAGCTGAGCCAGCGTGGCTCAAATGGGCCCTTGGCAAGGAAGGATGCTTCCGGGCCTGTGATTGGCCTGGTACAACTTGCACACCCTTGGGAAAAACAATCCAAATCTCCCCCCAGTTGATGGTAAAATGGGTAACAATGTCATCTTTGCCCATGAAAAATAACCAGTTTGGAAAATGCTGGTGTAAACAACTCTCCAGAATGTGGCCCTCTAGCGAGTTCTAGAGCCCCCGTTGGAAGGCAGGAAGGCTGGCACTGCGCAGCACAGGGATTTTCTGCTCCGGGACTTTTACCAAAGTTCAAGCAAAACTAAATTCTTCTCTCTGGGTTGAAAACAAATTCCTTGGTATAAGGGTGAGTGCGTGCTCAGGCCCTGGTTGTACTTGATCCACTCCAGCTGTATTCACCCCAACCCATTTTTACCTAATTTTACATTTCTGTACAAATGTTTACTAAAACAAAAACATGCTTGCCAATGATGACCACTTTAATTTACTCTCTGTCTCAGAGAACTTAGCAGTGACATGGCTATGCCTAGATGTGCCTAAGAGGCAGGGTGATGTAGTAAAATTCATAAAATCCCCAGGTTTAAAACCTCCCTCTGGAAAGCGCTGCACAACTCCTTGGAAAGTCACTTAACTTCCCTGAACCCAAATTTCCTCATTGGTAAAATAAAGATCGTAATACCCGTCTCCTAGAAGCATTGTAAGGATTGACTGAGAAGCACTGTGAAATAACAGTGTTTGTGGCACTTAGTACACAGTATTAGTGGCTTGCTTCCCAGTGTCACCTCTGGATTTCATAAGTCCTGCAACGCCAGAGTCAGAGCAACCTGATGGAGAACGTCCATGTGTGAGGCTCCGTCCCTTCCACCGCTGCCTCCCCGATGATCAGACATATATTTCTGATGATGGCAAGTCTTGCCTGGAAGCCACTCCACAGATCGAGTATGGAACTCCCCCCCGCACCAACCCTGTGCTTCCTTCCGTTTTCTCTCTGGTTAATTGCCAAACTTGCCCACGTGTCCCTGACTTCAGAATCTTTCTTACCACTCCCATTGATCTTGCTACTAGATCCTGTCAATTCTCCCTGCTAAATACATCTATGCTCTATTGTCGTCCTCCTCCCATCCACCACTGCAACCTCAGGTCTCCACTTTATCTTCTCTTGTTTGAACTAGAGTAAAAGAATCCTGCTTTTCTGCTGGCTCCCTGCTCCATGCTCTCTGCCCCAACCCCCAGCACCGCTCCAGGCTCCTGCGCCAGCTCTCTGCGGCTGCCATCATGATTATCTTCCGGGGACCTCATCAGCCATGATGAAATGTTCTGCGACATTTACATGATCTGGGAGATAGCAAATGGGCTGTGCCTGGGGTTGGTGGGGAAGATGGTCTGTTGGACAGAGGGTAACATTGATGACCTGCTCGCTGGTGGAAATGCCACTGCTGAGGGCCCCAGGGCAAAGGTACTAAAGCACGGTAATCACTGGTGTTGATATTGTCATGAACCATCACTTGCAGGAAACCGCCAACACAAAAGAAGCCTACGAGGAGCACATCAAAGATCACATGAAATCAATCAGAGGCAAACTTGAGGGATAGGGACTGGAAAGAATAAAATCTTTACTGACAGGGGCCTCAGAACACATCAAGCACATCCTTGTTAATTTCAAAACCTACCCATTCTTTACTGGTGAAAACACAATCCAGGTGGTGCGGCTGCCCTACGGGACTACCAAGAGGATGGTGAGAACCTATATATGATTTTCCTTAAGGGTGATTTAGAAATGGAAAGATGTTAACAAAGTCAGCAATGACTTTGGACCTACCACCCGCCATCATAACTGCTGCTGCTTGTCATCCACATACATCAAGACTTAAGACAAATAGGACTGGTGTCAACTTGAGCTCTTCATTTGTTTTGACTATCATGTATTGGGAGTGGAGACATTGCTTTTTAAGAAAAAACATGGCATGTAGGTTGTCCAAAAATAAAATGAATTTAAACTAAAAAAATGAAGGCCTCCTAACTAGTCTCACATCCTCCAGATGTTTCTCTCTCTAAAGCATGTTCTGCAAAGCTTCCCAGGATACTTTTGAAAAACCCAGCTCTGACTATGTCATTGTCCTGCTTCAAAACCATCATGGCTCACCCTTTGTACACAGGAGAAAGTCTAACTCCTTAACTTAGCATTGATGGCTTTTGGCCATGTGGGTCCAATGGGCTCTTCAGCCACATCTCCAGCCACTTTCCTGCCGACTACTCTGTGGTGAACATCTGACTTCCCATTTGCCTAACACGCCAGGCACCTTCCTCCCCTGAGCCTTCTCTTGCTCAGCTGACGAACCACTTCTCATTCCTTCCAGAGAGAGCTCACTTTCCCATACAGACCAGTATCCAAAGGTCAAGTGTAAATTTTCATGGACACAACATTCCCCCAGAGAGGTTCCTCACCTCTCTCACTCTCTGGCTCTTCCCGGGACCACCAGAACAGGTGGGCCTCCTACATTCTGGTGGACATCAGAGTGTTCTGCTTAACTGCTACTCACATGTTCATCTGTAGATGCCAGGCCCTGGTAGGACCTTCTCTTTGTGGTTAAATTTTTTTTGAAGCTTGTTAAAAATAGCATCTTTCCATTGACAAGGAACATGTGTAATTTCCTGTGTAATTCCCAGTTTTATAAACAGAACATAAAGTCTGCTTGCTTGATTATAGGACTTAAGCAAAATGTACTTAGCGTTGGATGATTCACACCTTGGAATCTTTCTATAAAGATTTTCATTGTTTAGCCATCACCCCAGGATGAAACCCCAAATAAAATAATTTCAGGATTTTAACTGGTGATTTCCTGCTTTAGAATTAATAATGCTGTTTTGAAGATTACATCTTGACTTTTGAACTTGGCCCTACATTCCTTACTGCTGCTGGCATTTCTGTGGACCGTGGCTAAGATATAAGCAACAATGCCTTATTTGAGGAAGTGTATTTGCCACTTGGGTGGCATGGTACTGTCATAAAGGTCTGTCCCAGTGCAAGCTTGTGGACAAACCATTTTACGGTTGGATTTTGCCCTCTGTACATGCCCAAGTCACGTACTTGCCCTCCCTGTCCGAAATCCTCCAGAAGTGAAACAGCCCTGGAGATTATCATAAGGGGGTTGGGGTGGGAGTGGAAGAGACCCAGGTGGCAGGATACCCCTGCATCCTCACTGGGTCTCTCGGGAACTTTTGGGGCCTGAGGCAGCAGGCAGGACTGGCTGAATTGGGCCCTGAGAAACCATCTTATCTGATGGTTATCTTACCTGAAGGCCATTCCTGATGACCTTTCCATGGCTTTTGGTCTTCTGCCATCTTCTGGTTCTTTCTGGACCTTACGGGTTTGTGACTAGGCACGGGCCAAACCGCACATCATGCACTTGAGGGCTAATGGAACTCTAGGCCCAGCATTCCCCAGTTCCTAGATCCCTATGGTTCAGAGAGCCCTGGGGTTCAGAGTGGGCCCAGCTGAGTATGGAGGATACAGAGAAGCCCAAACAGAAATGGGTCTGGGTCCTGTTTGTTCTGTGGTTTCCAGGGCAGAGAAGAGGTATCTAGGGGCCTCAACCTGCCCTCTGATTTTCTTCAATAAGCAAAATAAATCAAGACCAGCCAATGTGATTTTTTTTAAGTCTATAATCATTCTCAAAGTATGACCCCTGGACCAGCAGCATCAGTTGCTGGGAACTTGAAAGAAATGCACATTTTTTAGCCTTATCTCAGACCTACTGTCCCGGACCTGGGGGAGTGAGGGGGTGGTGCCCAGTGATCTGTGTTTTAACAAGCTCCCTGGGTGCCCCTGAAGCTGCTTGAATTTGAGAACCACTGGTCTCATGGTTCTGCATGTTCAGTGGTGCTCTGGGCTAGACTGGTTTGGACAAACATGTCTAACTTCTGCAGGCATAGAAATGGAATACTTTCTGCTTCTCTCAGCTTCTCAATGGTTGCTCAATGTAAAGTGGTCAAGGTCTTGTAATTATTACTCCAAATGAGGGGAGTAACAAGGGGGTGTCAGGCTTCTGAATGGGCATTTTGACTCATATGGCATTGTGGGGACAACTTTCCAAGAATCAGGCCAAAAGCTTTCTGTCCACAAAGGGACGTGCATAAAAATAGTTTGGCTGTTTCCAATTAGGACCAAATGGAAACCATCTGGACTCCTCACCCAGGAGGTTGATGTAAATCAGCTCAATCTAACCCTTTATTTTTAAACAAATAGAACTCTTTTACCAAGACCAAACTCACTCCCCAAACAAACACCTTATGACTGCAAAAGCAATTGTCCAATGCAGGAAGCTGTTTTTTAATTTCCTTTGTGAACTCTGGAAAGCATGACAGGAAACTATGCAATAAATATGTATTAGATGCAAAGTTGTTTCTATTGTTTGAGGCAAAGGATTCCTTGGGAGACCAAAGACCTTAATGGCTCCCATTGTCTACTGGGTTGAGTCTGGACTCTTGGCCTGACACACAAAGTCCTCCTTCCCTCTTGCCAGAGCCACCCTCCCCACATCCTCTTGTTCTATCCGAACCTGGGGGTTCATGGCTTACCTTGTTAAGGTCCTTCTTTCTCAACTAAGTCCTTCCTTTCTCTCCATACCAGGTTGGCTCATTCACAAAGCCTTCTCCCCAGTTCCACCCTGGGGGAGAGCACCCTTCTCTGAACCCAGTGTCCATGTTTGGCCCTTGCAGACGCTACCTTGTGTGGTTGTTTGTTTCACAGGTATGCAGCCCATCTCTAAACTACATTCAGAGGCCCCTTGTCATGGGTTGAACTATGCACCCCTTGGAAAATTCATATGTTGAAGTCCTAACCCCAGTAGCCAGAATGTGAGCTTATTTGGAAGTAGGGTTGTTGTAGATACAGTTAGTTAAGATGCGGTCATACTGGAATAGGGTGGGCTCCCAATCCAATATGACTGGTGTCCCTATAAAAAGGGGAAATACGGACACAGAGACAGACACAGGGAGAATGCCATGTGAACACAAAGGCAAAGATTGGGGTGATGCACCTACAAGCCAAGGAACACCGAAAATTGCCCACAAACCACCAGAAGGTGTGAGAAAGGCATGAACAGACTCTTCCTCACAGCCCTCTGGAGGAACCAACTCTGCCAACACCTTGATCATGACTTCCAGCCTCCAGAACTGTGAGACAGTGAATTTCTGTTGTGTAAGCCACCCGGCCTATGGCACTTTGTTTTACGGCAGCCAGACTAGACTAACACAACCCTTGAAGGCAAGAATACACCTTGTGTCCCACATAGAACTGGCCCTCGATGACCATTTTCTGTTGAGGCAGCTGCAGTGACCAGAAGGTAAGTCTTTAGTGTAGGAACCGGGGATATTCCACTACATCCCTCACACACCAGCCCAGAATGGGCCTTGAGGAAATTTTTTACCCCATCAATGCCGACTGAAAGAATGGCCACAGGCAACCTGCAGATCTTCAAGGCCTCTAACCTCTTCTCTGAAAAACTGTAAGGCACTGGACTCCCCAGGATGCTTGGCGAGAAGGTCCATATGGCTCATAAAGATCAAAAGAAGAAAATCTAGTGCCTTTGTGCCAGGTTTTAGCAGCCAAAAGGCATTGTTGTAACTTGGGCCTCAACATAGCTATTATTTAAAAGCAGAAGGATGAGTTGTCATATTGCTCTTTTTTTGACTTTTCTCTCGAACCATCCACCTTCTAAGGGGGTTAACCCCTGCAGGGCCGACATGGATGAAGAGTGAGGGCTTGGGTGGGGTGGCACATAGGTAGAGTCACATTCACAAAGGGCCTCACAGTTGGACTCTGGTGTCTTCGCCTAATGATGTCGTGCTCACGTTTGCTGCGCTTTTATGTGTTAGAAGAATTATCCTGTTAAATGTAAAGACTTCACATATTGTGCAGTTTATCTTAACCTTTGCCATTAATTAGTTTTTTAAAAAATAAATCAGGAAGGGTTAGCAAATAGCAGTGGTCAGGGCCTCTCTCCAGCCTTGAGAAGCACTGAAGCTCCCAAATAGATTTTCCCTTTTGGTCTTTCTGCAACGCCGAGTTAACTCCCAGTGCGATGCAGTTAGACACTCCGTCTTTGTTCTTTTACCACTTTCTGTTACGTCTAGGTCAAGAGTTAGAATTGGTGACTCCTCTGCCCTCAGGTGTCATCTTGCCGGTGTAGGGTCTGTCCTCTGCAGGGCCACCTGTGCTGGGAGTGGTGATCATCCTTATCCTCACAGGAACCCCAGCCCACCCCTCTGAAAGGATTTTTGGTTGAAAATATCCCCAAATGGTAACTGTCTGTTATGGGTTGAATGTTTGCGTCCCCCTAAAATTCATATGTTGAAATCCTAAAACCCAACATGACGGTATTAGGAAGTGGAGCCTTTGGGAGGTGATTAGGTCATGAGGGAGTATTCCCCATGGATGGGATTTGTGCTCCTATAAAAGAGCCACCAGGGAGCTCTCTAGCTGTCCCTGGGCCATGTGAGAACATGGATAAAAGGTGGCTGTCTATGAAGCAGGCCCTCACCAGACATTCAATCGTCCAGGGCCTTAATCTTGGCACTCCACTCAAATCAGCCTCCAGAACCGTGAGAAATAAATGTTTGCTACTTAGCTACCCCATCTATTGTATTCCGTTATATAGTAACCCAAACTGATTAAGACACCACCTAAAACAAATGAGAACCTAGCACGATACTTTTCTTTTCTTTTTCTTTTTTCCTTTTAGTAGGTTTTCTAAAATCTACTAGCACTATCCAGTGGAAAGACAATATTTACATTGACAACAGAGACAGGGTATGATAAATTTTCTCACTTTGAATTTTCATTTGGCATTTTAGATCATAAGAATTTGCAATTTTCTTTTTTTTGTTCTGTCGCCCCAGCTAGAGCGCAGTGGCCTCATCACAGCTCACAGCAACCTCAAACTCCTGGGCTCAAACAATCCTCCTACCTCAGCCTCCCAGAGTGCTAGGATTACAGGTATGAGCCACCATGCCCAGCCAAATTTGTAATTTTCTAATTCAGTGAGATTTCATAGAGGAGATACAAGAGTAATTCCAGGACAGAAAAAGACCACACAGGAACAGATTAAAACTGAAGAAGAGAAAGCCAAGGGTGACAAGCTTGATTGTAAGGGCCAGTTGCCTTTCCCTAAACTAATGGTATAAAAAAAACATGAAATGGACTAAAACAGAGCAACACAAATTTAGTTTAGCTTCCATGACAGTTTCCCAAAAACTGCTGGTGACACACCCAGTGATAATCTTGTGCTGTCTCTTTAGAATTTCAAAGTATGAAGCTGGCATGGAATTTAGGAGCCCGTGAGCACAGAGTCCTCATCTTGCAGAGCAGGGTGCTGGGAGCCAGGCATGAGTGGAAGTGTCAGAATGGACTTCCGGTCCCTAACTCTGAGCTGCAAACCTGTAACACTCAGACAGCTTCTTACTTAGTGTAACCCTGCTCAGCGGTTATGGAGTTAGTGATTTCTTAAAATTCCTTCTAAATTACTTAGTTTCTGAGTCTAAGTAGCAATCGCAGGAGGCAAGTCTGTGAGCTGAATGTATCAGGTCCTGCTGGTTGTTCATTGCAGGAATACTCCCAAACCAGCCTAGGTCGCACAATCCTTTTTTGGAATGTTGAACGCACCAAAGAGGAATTCCTCTGGTGGCCACAGCAAAGCTGTTCTGTGCTTGGTTTACGTGAGGTCACGAGACATTGAGTTTTCTTTCTTCTCCACTTGAGTTTTTCTCTCTGGGGCAATTACTTAGTAGTGAGAACACAGCACAAGAAAGAAGAAAGTGATTTAGAAGATGAAGGAAGTGGAAGGAATAGTTGAAACAATAAACAAAAATACCTTTTTTTCTCTTTTTCTTCCCTGAAGTAGTTTTCACTGTTACAACTTCAGATGATTTTGTAGTCTGGTTCAAAGTTGAACTTCTTCTCTGTCCAGCTGGTTGGAAAAAAAAAAAGGTTAAAAAAAAAGCAGCCTGTTCAAAGTTAAATGAATGGGTTTTTGACATATTTTAATACTGGCTCTTGTTTTTATTTTACGTACACTTTGGGCAGAGATATTTCTCACAAGAGAGAATTAATTATCTGACCCACTGCAAGATCATATTCACTTCAGCTCAAGCCTGTGGTTTCGTGTTTCTCTCCCAAAGATTTAAGGTGAACACACAATCAAGTAGGGCCCCCAGAACCATCCTGCCAGGCCTCATGTTAATTTTTCTTTACACGCACAGTGGCCCTCTATAAAAGTGGCTCCAAATCCCTAAGATTACTGAGCAGGGCATGTTTTGGCATGTATAAAGCAATATGTTAGAATATTATCACTCTGGAATCATTCTGGAATCTTCCTTTCTCTTGCACCCTACCAATGCATAGAAGATGGAGTAGTGCAGCATCTGACCACTTCTCACACCTCTCTGCTATGACCCCAGTCTCACCTGGGTAGACATCTCTTGCCTGGATGACAACAGCTTCCCAACAGGTCTCCCTGCCCACCCTCACCCCACCCCCGGGCGGTTTGCCACAGTGACTAGGGGGCTCTTCTCAAACCTGAGGCCCACGAGTCCTTCCTCTGCTCCTCACTAGCTAACAGGCCCTTCACATTCTGGCCTTACTCTCTGCACAGGCAGGCGCCCTCCTGCTGTTCTTGAGTGCAAAGGCCTTAGGCCCTTGGGACAGGTGGCTCCCTCTGCCTAGAATGTTCTTCCCCACTTATCGGCAGGGCTCACTCCCTCACCTCCTGTGTCTGTACTCAGATGCCAACTGTTGAAGGAGGTCTGTGCTCAACCATCTGCTAACAATCACATCCCATCCATCTTCCTTCTCCAGGTTCCCATACTTGCTCACCACGCTTTGCTTTTTCTTTTTCCATGGCAACTGTCACCTTCTAACAAACTATCGCATGCAGATATTTATTACAACTTTAAAAAATTGTCTGATCCCCTTGCCCTCCCTACATGCATTTGCACACCCACGCATGCACCTACACAAGCACACTGTGCCCAGCCCTCTCTTCAAGAGCTGAGAGCTTTGTCTTGTTTTATGCACTAAAATACCCCAAGCACCTAGAAGAGTATTTGGCACATATTGGGGCACACACGCAGACACACACACGGACACACACACGATGAAGGAAGGAAGGAGCATCATTATTAAGATTACATTTATACATTACAACAAGTAATTAAGAAAACAAACTTGTCATTTGTGGTGAGGCCTTTGGTCCCTTTGGCTGTCAGCAACAGAAAGCCACTGTGCCTGACTCTGGCAGGAGGGAAAAGTTACAGGGAGACCTGGGAGTAGCTCCCAGAACAGGAGAGAAAACCAAACCTTGGGTCTTACAAAGTGGTATTCGCAAAAGATTTTAGCTCTTAGGACATCCTAGAGGAATACTGAAAGGCTCGTGTGTTATCTTGCACATTGTTAGGTTGGTATCTAAATTTTTTTTTTTTTTTTTTTTTTGAGACAGAGTCTCACTCTTTTGCCCGGGCTAGAGTGAGTGCCGTGGCGTCAGCCTAGCTCACAGCAACCTCACACTCCTGGCTCAAGCGATTCTCCTGCCTCAGCCTCCCGAGTAGCTGGGACTACAGGCATGCGCCACCATGCCCAGCTAATTTTTCTATATATTTTTAGTTGTCCAATTAATTTCTTTCTATTTTTTTTTTAGTAGAGACGGGGTCTCGCTCTTGCTCAGGCTGGTTTCGAACTCCTGAGCTCAAACAATCTGCCCGCCTCGGCCTCCCAGAGAGCTAGGATTACAGGTGTGAGCCACCTCGCCCGGCCTGGTATCTAAATTTTTCATCATAAGTTTTACAATTTCAAAGGGTGTGATTTCTCCTCAAAGGAGAATGGCAAATATTTAAAAATAACATCTGTTATATTATTCTCTCAAGTGGATTGAATGGAATCTAAACTCCTAGCAATTTGATAGTCATCATCATTCATTAGAACATCCCAAACAACACAAAACATGAGCAAACTCTTCTTTAGTTGAAAATTTTACATTATTACCTTTTCTTCTTGTTCTTCTATTTGTATTTCCATTCTACTTACTTTGTAGAGTTTTATATTTGAGAGTCTTTTATAGATCATACTGTGATACTTCTCTGTAATAAAAAGGCTACATATACAACCATTTAAATTTAAAAATTTCTTGTGATCATAAGACTCTAAAGTATTAACATTTCTTCTGCAGTTATTATATATCATCTTCTGCAATTAGGAATATATGATTGCTCATACAATGTATTTTACACATACTGATAAATCCTAATTAAATATAAAAATAAAATTATATTGACTACATTGCTCAGCGGGATGGATGGTGCTGCTTTATTCATTTGTTTTTATAATTAATTCATGTATTCATTGAAGAATATTACTACTAGCATGAGGCAGAGTTCAGCGCCAATTCATTTCTATTTTTCATTGTTATAGTTTCAGTGCTGAGAAACGTTGCTCACACAAGTTGGGAATGGAGGAATAGGGTTGCCAGATTCAGTCTCCCTCTCCTATCTACCCCCGCCCCCTGCCCAATATAGGACTCTCAGCTGAAGTCAAATGTCAGCCACAAAAAGCCACTTATAGGGGAGTAAGCAGCCGTTGTTCTTGTCTGTGCTGCATTTGTCCTCCCATTTGTCTGCTCTTTGTGGGGCTGCCACAGCCCCCTGCGAATCGTGGGATGCTGGTGGGGTTGCCATCACAGTGCGCCAGCTGGCCCACAGGACAGGTGTGTGATCATTTCCGGCCAGTCATGGTTCACCATGGCCTGGGCCACAGAGACTGGGCCAAGGGTAGGTCCGTGACCCAAGGAGGGCCAATCAGAACCTTCCTATGGGATTTGACCCATAGTCGCTGGAGGAAAGGAGCTCACGCTTTCTGGTTGATTCTAAGTCCTGAGTATACAGCCCTGGGACTGCTGACAGGCACATCAACTGCCTTTTCCTGCTTGTAGAAGGCCTGGTTGACTGGGGAGGAAGAAGGCTGCATCTCTGAAGAGAAGTAGAGCCAAGAGCAGCGAGCCCTGGGTCTCCTGATGACATGGTGTGAGCCACTGAATCCAGCCATCTCCAAAGACAGCTGAACCCATGGACATCTCAGTCATGTGAACCAAAAAACCAATCCTGTTCTTTAATCCTGTTTGGGTTGCTTTCACTTTGAACCTAAATAGTCTGATTAACATGTTGTGCTAATTTCCTACTGCTGCTGTAACAAGTGACCACAAACTTAGTGCCTTAAAACAATGCAAGTTTATTATCTTACAGTTCTGGAGGTGTGACATCTGAAATGGGTCTTACAGGCGAAAGTCAAGGTGTCAGCAGAGCTGCGTTCTTTTAGAGGCTCTGGGTGAAATTGGGTCGCCTGCCTATTGCAGCTTCTAGAGGCCTCCTGCACTCCCTGGCTCCTGGCCACTTCCTCATGTCACCCCACCCTCTGCTTCCACTGTCACGTGTCCTCTCTGACTCTCCCACCTCCCTCTTGTTAAGATCCCTGTGATTACATTGGACCCGCCAGGATGATCCAGGATGATCTCCCTATCCCAAGATCCTTAACTTGATCTCATCTGTAAAGTCTCTTTTGCCACCTGAAGTGACATATGCACAGGTTCTGAAGATGAGGACAAAGGCATCCTTGGGGGCCATCATTTTGTCTCCCACACATACTCAGGAAGAAGAATTCCAGTGGACCACTGAGAAGGTCGCTTTTAATCACAAAGCCAAGTTTCCAACAGGAGCATGGTGCCAAGTTCCACAGCACTTACTTGGGAGCAGCTGAGGGGGGTTTCTGGTGTCTGGTGAGGCTGTGGCCAGCTGGCCTTTCTCCTGCATCTCTGCATACTCTGCCAGGGGTCTGAGGAGAGCCAGAGCTCCGGAACATTGCAAGTAATTGCCATCAAGGTGCAGCTCACTGGGGAAGGCAGTAAAATACATTGTTTATGTGATGTTAGTTCCACTTCCTCAAATTTGGATGTGAGGTCTTCAACTGATGAAATAATATACCTAGTCATAAGATTATTATCTTATGATAATAAATATAATCATAATTATAAATAGGAATATATTATAATTATGTTATAATCATAAATATAAATAATCATAATAATTAAATATAATAGGCTATACCATAAAAAACAGACCTAGTGACCATGTCAACTGGCCGAAGCATGACATGTCATTCAGCATGACATCCTTGATTCTCAAACTTGACTAAAGTATCTTTCTCTTAGCGTCAAGAAAAAGCAAACAAAAATAACTGCAGGAGAGAAGAAGATGATTAAAATCATAGTGGGTTGTATAACTCAAGACAGAACAGTGCCAGGAAGCGCAGGGGGCGGGGCGGGGGCGGGGCGGGGCACACATCTCACCAAACTGCGCTCTGGCTGATGACTGAGGCCAGCTGGGGCCTGCTCTGGGGCCCCAGACCACAGTAACGTAGGCTGAGGCCTTGAAGCCTTTGGTTGTTCTCCAGGCCTGAGAAAATGCTCTGAATTTCTTCATTTCCAAATCTAAAAAGAAAGGAAGGTGTCAACCTAAATGACAGAGAGACGGGCTCCCTGAAAGCAAATGGTATTTATTTGGGAAGGGGCATTGCAATGGGAATACATGGCCACAGTAAACTGTGTGTGTGTTCAGGGAGGTAAAGGAAGACAAGGGTTTTTAAAGGAAAAACAAGGAGGTTACATAATTGTTTTGAAATAATTATCCTTGGCTACAAGGATCAATAACAAGGGTGGCGCCAGTCCAAGGCTGAACAGGCAATTGGTGGGCAGATGTCCTCACAGAAGTATTTGCGATGGCCTTTGTGCAAGATTGTGGCTTTCGCAGAGTCTTTTGTGATAGTTGTTTTTCCCAGGCATTTATGCATGAGAACCCTCACTCCCCTCATGGCCTTCCCCAGCTCTACTGGTCAGGGTTTTGTTTTGTTTTGTTTTGTTTTAAACACAAGTGGCTCCATTTTAATTCTGACAATGTTCACAGCAGAAATAAATTAGTGACTTTTAAAACCTATGTCACACGCTGGATTATTAATTTTGATGCCCTCCCTGGGGTAGTTAGAGGCATTTCTGCTGAACCTTAATTGGAGCTTCCAGGGCCAGAGCTGGCTGTGGGGGTGGACTGGGTTGGCCCTTGGGGGCAGCCTGGGTGTGGAGGGAAGGAGACCCGAAGCCTGCCTCCTGTAAAGGGAGCAGAAGATGGCTGGAACTACCCATTCAAGGGAGCAGAGGGAGAACAAGCTCTGAACCCCAAAGCTGGCCACTCCGGAGAGAGGTGAGACGGCCTAGAGGGCAGAGATGGGAGGAGCCTAGGAAGACTGCTGTAAGGAGGGGCCTTTTAAAGTGTGTCCAGAGCAGGTTCAGGAAAGTTCCACCTCTCCTCCCTCCCTTCATGGGCCTGTGCTGTTCTCTCTCCTTGCACTGAGGTCTCTACTTTGCCAAGTGAAACCACATGCATCCTCAGCAGCCTGCGGGGGAAGATGATGGTAACATTTTATGGGTCAGGAAACTGAGGTTTGGCGAAGTAAAACAGCATCTTCAAGGAATTTGAAATGTCAAGGCTTGAACTTTAAGATGAGGCGGCTAGTGTAAACAGAAATAACCTCTAAATTTATTAATTCATTAACAAGTAATTATTGAGGGCCTACAATGTGCCAGCTACCGAGGTGGCTGTCGGGGTGTGGAGGAGAGAGGAGGGCGTCCTGCCTGGTGGGCCTCTCACCGTCAGGGAAAGGAAGGAACTGCAATCCCCAGGGCCAGTCACCTGCCACTCTACCAGGGCTGAGGGCTCCGGTGGTGATTCCCAGCGATGCAACCCTGACAACACTAGGCGTCTTCGCATCAGCAGCACTATTTCAAAGGACAATTAAAACAAGCTGTTTCCTGAAGATGGGAATTCCTTCTCTCCTCTTCCCACCAGTGCAGGTCTCTGGGTGTCCCTCTGAGGAGTTGGGGTCTACAGGGGTCTCTTAGCAGCGGGTTCTTCCCAGTAGAGTGCGGGAAGCTGGGGTGACTCCCACGCAGGTCCTGCAGTCACTACACAGGGTCCTGAGCACCCCACCTTCTGCTGCCCTGTGTTAGAACACCCTGCCTAACGCCCAGCATTTCAGACACCTGGAGAACCTCCGCAGAGACCTCCCTCTGCTCAGCTTTTGCTAATGAACTTGTCCACTGTTACCACCAGGGCCTGACAGGATCCTAGTTCTTTAAGGGGTCTTGGTGCCTCTGTGGTATCACTTCTGCAGCATGAGTCATCTTTCCCTCCTCACAGCCCACTGGCGTTTTGGGTATAAGGCTCTTCCCAACTGACTGCATGGGAAGAGTCTCAGAATCATACCCTTCTGAAGTGGAGAGAGATTTTCATTACAGATCAGAAAGGTTCTATGACTTTCTCCAGATCGTATGAGCTGTTTGAAATTATTTGTGGATGATAAATTATAGACCCCAGGCAATCTAGTGCTGTGGATCAGAGGTGGGCTGTGATTCAGACAACCTGGATTCACATCAGGGCTCCACCCCTAAGAGCTGAACGGCCTTGAATAAGTCTTAGCTCATCTGCAGTCTGGGAATAGAAAAGGTACACATCTCATAAGGTTGTTGGGAGAAGGAATAATCCACACAGTGTGCTTGGCACACAGTAAACCCTCAATAACCTTTAGCTGGTGTTATCATTATTATCATTCTCCTCCGGGACCCTCCCTCAACATGCTGAGCACCCCAGCCCCTGAGGGACCTGCTTTGCCCCCCACCCCACCTTCCTCCCTACCTCCTCCCCTGGTGAACACTAGCCCACCACCTAGGAAACTGTGGTTTCCCTTAGCTGAACTACCAGAAAAATGGAGATGGACATATTTTGTGATTTTTAGACTTTCTCCCTTGCATATGTTCCTGTTTTCCCTAGCAATGAGCATGATGTCCTGCATAAAATGGCCTTCAACCAGTTTTTGTTGAAGAAATAAATGAATGAAAAGAGAGTCTTTTGGGGAACCCTCACGTTTACTCAGAAACATTAACTCCAAGGAGGTGTAAGAGTGTCCTCTTTCAGCCAGGCCTTATGAGGTACAAGGAACCCAGACGTGGCCCTCCCTGCCTTTGCTTCCCTAGTGGACGGTAGTAAGGGCCCCACAGGGGCTCCGCATTCCAGCCGTACTTGCAGTAGTCCAGGACAAGAGAATGCAAACTGCTGAACTGCAGACCCTTCCCAAGTCGCCCTAGAGACCACAGATCCATCTTGCAGTCAATGATTTCTAAGGTGGTGAACGGGCAGGTGTTGCGCCCCTTTGGTTCCAGAAACAAAGCCTAGAATGCAAGAGGTAAAGACACTTACACAATGATGACAAACATGCTCTTTGCTTTAATATGTTGCTTACAAGTCAATCGTATTAATTACCTCAACATTTTTGCCTCTAGATAACTTTCTGTTAATAATTACCTAAGGAAAATGTGGCATGAAAATAAAATAATTTCCCTTTAAAACAAAAATTGCTTGAAGAATGATATGGGTAACACCAAGCTTTACGATGAGATAAGATATATTGAAGGATATTATTTTAGATGTTGGTATGGGCTGAATTGCGTGTCCTCCCAAATCCGTATGTTGAAGTCCTAACTCTCAGTGCCTCAGCATGTGGCTGTATTTGGAGATGGGGTAATTAAAGATGTAATTAAGTTAAATGAAGTCATTAGGGTTTTACCCGATACGACTTGTTTTCTTATAGGAAGAGGAAATGTGGACACAGATCGACAGAGGGAAGACCACGTGGAGACGCAGGGAGAAGACAGCCATCCACAAGCCAAGGAGAGAGTTCACAGCAGAAATCGACCCAGCCTCCACCTTGATGTGGGACTTCCAGGCTCCAGAACTGTGAGAAGATAAACTTCCATTGTTGATGCCAGCTAGTTTGTGGTACTTTGATATGGCAGCCTGGGCTGACTAAAACAGATACTGATGTTCTAATCAATACATTTACCCTGTCATGGTTGTGTTATTTTTAGTAGAGAGGTGTGGATATGCCAATCTTTTTATAATTAAATAAAAAATTAGCTGTCATCCCTAGCCCTGAATATTAGGATTTAGAGGTCTGCTTAGAACGGGACTGTGCAAATTCAGTAACCAGGTGCTTCTCACATGGGAGCTTCTGGACTGGCACCGTCTCATGTTCCCACAGTGTCCCGAATGCAGGGTCTATGGCAAGGTCATTCCTTGTTGTAACAAAGGATACCAATGACAGTTAAATCCCTACCTGGGAGGAGAGGGTATGTAAAAATACCAACCACGACAATGTCGTGAAGGCCAGCTTTTAACAATTAGAACCTCCAGAGCCTGAGGATTCCTTCAGTTCAGAGTTTAAGCCCAGGAGAGGCTTAAACTGGTAGAGTTTGGAGGATTTTTTTTTTGAGGGTTTTTTTGAGGTAATGACATGTTGGTCAGATACAGGATTCCAAATTCTATCTTGGCTGAGATTAAAAAGGCACTTGCAACCTTAACTACAGAGCTGGTGCCAAGGCGGTCTTTATGAGAGATGCCTAGTTTGAGTGCTGGATTGGATTTCTCGAGCCGTGTGCCTGACAGAGGAGCCCATGTGGCATGTCCAGGCCTATGTTAACACTCATCTGGGCTGAACAGACCCTTAATTGGGTCCTAAAGCTCCCTCCCAGAGTTCGTGCCATCACCCCTTGGGCACCAACACTGCTGTGGGCAAGTCCACGGCCATGCAGGATAGAATTCCTCAGTAGCCCCGGGCTCAGCAAGAGGGCTGCATTTTACAGAACTGTGAAGGATCACTTTTAACATGAGTGGACAGCATTCTGTTTCTCGCTTGGGTAGGCTGGGTACCCTGATTGACCCTCTGAATAAAAGCAACTAAAAATGCTGGCTACATATTTAAAATATCCTTTTACGTTTATTTTTAAGCCATGGTAAAATACACATAACATTTACCGTCGTAACCATTTTTAAGTGTACAGTTCAGTGGCATTAAGCATTCACATTTTTGGGCAATCCTAACCACCATCCATCTCCAGAACTCTTTTTTTTTTCCATCTTGCAAAACTGCAACTCTGTACCCATTGAACAATTGCTCCTCAGTCTCCCCTCTCCCAGACCCTGGCAACCACCATTCTGCTTTCTGTCTCTATGAATCTGATGACGCTAGGTACCTCAAAGAAGTGGAATCATATAGTATTCGTTCTTTTGTGTCTTGCTTATTCACTTAGCATAATGTCCTCAAGGTTCGTCCATGTTGTGGCATGTGTCAATTTCCTTCCTTTTTAAGGCTGAACAATGTTCCATTGTATACGCCACATTTTACTTACCCACTCATCTCTCGATAGACACTTGCATTGCTTCCACCCTGTGGCTACTGTGAATAACGCTGCTGTGAACGTGGGTGTGCAAATTTCTCTTTGAGAGCCTGCTTTTAATTCTCTTAGGTATATACTCAAAAGTGGAATTGCGGGATCATATGGTCATTCTGTTTTTAATTTTTTGAGGAACTGCCGTACAGTTTTCCATAGTGGCTGCACCATTTTTCATTGTCACCAACAGTGCACAGGCTTCCAATTTTTCTACATCCTCACCAACACTTATTATTTTCTGTTTCTTGGTAGTAGCCCTCCTAACGGGTGTGAGGCAATACGTCACTATGCTTTTGATTTGCATTTCCTTAGTGATCAGTGACGCTGAACACCTTTTCATGTACTTACTGGCCATTTGTATATCTTTTTTGAAGAATGTCTCTTCAAGTTCTTTGTCCACTTTAAATCAAGTTGCTTGTTTTTTTTTGTTGTTGAGTTGTAGCAGTTATTTATATATTCTGGATGTTAACCCCTTATTAGATATATGATTTGCAATTATTTTCTCTCATTCCAGCGGTTGCCTTTTCACTCTGTTAATTATGTCCTTTCATGCATAGAAGTTTTCCATTTTGATGTAGTCTGATTCACCTATTTTTTCTTTTGTTGCCTGTGCTTTTAGTGTCATAGCAAAGAAATCATTGCCAAACCCAATGCCAAGAAGCTTTTTCTCTATGTTTTCTTCTGAGAATTTTAAAAATACTTAAAAAAAATGTTTTAATTGGCTGGCAGGTTAGTGAGGAATACCCAAAGATCAATGAATGAGGGAAAATGGGAGTCGGTTGGGTATGCTGAGTACTGACGCCAGCTTTCCGGAAAAGCATCACAGAAGCGGTAGATGTGAATGCTGGTTTTCATGGATCATGGAATCCAGGGAATAGGAGATAAAACCATGGCCACTGAACGTGGGAGTTCAGTAGAAAGTTCTGCATGAAAGTGCGGCCCAAAACACAAAGTGGGCCACAGCGTTATGCCCTTAGAGTAAGGATGAACTAGAAATAAACCCAACTCTCCTTTCCTCCAACGCACCCCAGGAAAATTGCCTTTCTCAAACTGATAAATATAGGGAAAAAATATATCCCCTAAGAACTCACAAACTCGTCTGAATACAGCTTTGCACCCTGAATTAATGCCACTTAGATGGCTCGAAGAAACCTAGGTCAAGAATTTGGCGTAACCCTGGGATGGTAGCACCCTGAGTGCATGGCAGATGCAAATGCAAATACTCTCTGGGTCTGGAGGAAGCTATCTTCTGAAGAGAGGAATTGCCATGATGATTTTTTTCTGGAAATATGAGTTCATGGTAAAAAAGAAATCACAAAAGCACACACAGGGATGTCACCATGAGTAAGAGCAAGTAGAGGCAGGAGATAATAATATCAGATCTCCAAAGAATTCAGATTATTGAAACTATTAGACACAGAATATGAAATAACTTCAATACATTCAAAGAAATAAAGCATGGGATTATCTTTAAAAAAAGAAAAAAGCAAGAGACTAGGAAAATGGCCACTAATGCCCTCTCCCAGTCTCTACTCCCTTTTTCCTCCCTAAAATATAGTTTTATGATAACCAAACATTATAATTTTACCTATTTGGTGAACTTTACATAAATTCAAGCACACAGTATGCATTCTTTTATGTCTCTCTTCATTTGTACAACATTATGTTTGTGCGATTCATCATATTTTACTTTTGTATAGCTGTAGTCAGTTCATTTTCATTGCTACATGGTGTTCTACTATATGAATACACCACCATTTATTTGTCCATTCTACTGTTGTTGGAAATTTGGGTTCCTTGCAGTTCTTGGCTTCCATGAACATTTTTGCATGTGTCTCCTGGTGCTCATGTAAGGTACATTTATGCTGGATATATACCTACAGAGTTGATTTGCTGGATCATAGACTTTGGAATCAGTAGATAATGCAATATGGTTTTCCAAAGTGATTGTACCAATACATACTCCCACAGCAGTGTATGAAAATTTCAGTTGCTCCAAATTTTCACTGACACTTGGTAATATGCTTTTATTTTCACTGTTCTATTGGTTGTGGAGTAGTATTTTTTCATTTTGAATTTCCCTGATTCCTAATAAAGTTTAGCACCTCTTAATATTTTTATAGGCTATTTGATATCTTCTTTTGTGAAGTGTCTATTCAAGTTTCTTGATCACACTTTTATTGCTTTATTTATATTTTCCTTAATGATGTTTTGGAGTTATTTATATGTCATGCCCAAGAACCCTTTTTGATTATATATGTAGCAAATATCTTTTCCAGCTCTGTGGCTTGCCTTTTAACCCTCTTAATGGTGATTCATGATGAACAAAAGTTATTAGTTTTAATGGATTCCAACTTAATCTTTTCTTTTATGGTTGCTGCTTTTTGTGTCCTGTTAAAGTATTTCTCCACCCTCAAAGTCATGATGATATTTTCTTATATTATCTTCTAGAAACTTCACTGTTTTGCCTTTCAAATCTGCAATCTACGTGGCATTGATTTGGGAGTATGATGTGAAGTAGGGATCAAGCTTCTTCATCCCCCATATTAAATCCCATTGTCTCACCATCATTGATTGAAAGACCATCTATTCCCCAATGCCATGTATTGTCATCTTCATCAAGAACTAAATGTCCATATAAGTATGTGTCTGTTTCTAGGCTTTCTATTCTTTCTCATTGGTTTACTTATCTATCCTTGTAGCAATATTTACACTATCTTAATTTCTGTAGCTTTATAAGAAGTTTTGATACCTGTTAGAGCAAATTCTCCCACTATCTTCTTCCTGTTCAAGATTGGCTTGCTTATTCTTGGCCATTTACATCTCCATATAAAATTTACTATCAGTTTTTCAACTTCTATAAGAAAACCATTTTCATGTCTGATTCTTCCTGCATCTCTGACCTTTTATCTGGGATCATTTTTCTCTGTCTAAAGAATAAACACATACATGCATATGTAATAGAAGTATAACATATGCATGGGGCTGATGCATATTAACTTTAGGCTAATGGTACCTTGGGAAAGCAGATGCAGGAAAAGAAGTGAAACGAAGCTGTAGCTGTTTTATTTGTAAATACGTTTGAAGAATTATGCTGTAGTATTTCTTTTAGGGAAGCTCTGCTGATGACAAATTCTTCCAGTTTCTGTTGGTCTGACAACAAATTTATTTCACTTTCA